GTTTAACATGTTGTCAGATTTTATGTTTTCAAATTCTGACAACGAATAATTGATAACTATTAATATGGTAGATAATAATAAGTTTGAGATTCATATTTCGGAAATATTCTACAGTCGTTTCCATATTCAGTTATTTAAAATTAATGGAGTTTAATATTTTGTTTGAGTATTCCTATCAATACGTTACAGTTACAATCTAGATTGAAAAAATTTAATTTCGAATTAAAATATGAAATCATCCAAACCTAAACCATCTAAACTTAACCAAGAACCAATTCTTATATTTCAAATATTCAAAAAATACAAATTCAAATCATGGAAATCATTATTCACACTAATCGAGACCTACTTAATAAAACAAGAAGGTTATATAAATATTCCGAATTTCATTGTATACTTTCTTTTAACTCGCCACTGAATATGCGTGAAGTTTGCACCGAAATCTCACTTGCAAGACTTGGTGAGAATAGCGTCGATGCTACACTGGTTCGGTTAATCAATGTTCGAATAATTGACGCTCTACTGCAGTCGCAACATCATCAACGTCATGCGACAATACGGTGGGAAATCAAATCAATCGTTCGAGGGTTCCATTAGATACGCACCAGTACCTCTACCATGTTGATACAATTGGCCAAGATTAATGTGGTGGACAATAATCATCGCGAGTAAATCGCGTCCTACGTTGGGTCAAGCTTCGACCTGGCAACTCCAAAATTATCTTAAAAAGATAATCCACGCACACACAAAATAATTATGATGCAATATTTGGATATTTTTTTGGTCAACAATCACTTTCAAGTACACAATTGCCAGATTTTTCGATGACTTTTATATTCCATTAAACTAGAGACACAAAAATTTCGATAAAAACGCTGTTAAAATTTGCTTCCGAGACACCGTTGCTTTTAAAACTGTTAAATGTTCCATGTGTGCATTAATCATTCAATACAGTATATATTGAATTAAAGTATATATAATATTATTTCCAGAATGAAATAATATTATTTATTTATTTAGCTATTCATATTCTGCATTGAACTATTAATAATCAACAAAATATTTAATTATATAAGTTCAACAAGAAAGATGACTAATTTCTTATCTCGAATTCCTTATGTCCAATTCTTCATCTCGATAATGGTTGTGCACAGCTCTGGTGCATAACAATAATATCACTAATTACTTAGGTCAATTAGGAGAACCTAGTAAAGCGCTATAGTTATTTAGTCCACCAAGAGTACAAGGTAACACTGGTAATGTGTTGCTTAATATTGAGAGAGTCTTTATTAACTAATGTCAGTCCACATGGCTTTGGGACATAACGTCGATTACAGCTGTGCCTGGAAGAAGTGATAGAAACCAGAAGCCCTGTCACGCATTCGTCAAACGATTCTATCCACTTAAGTTTCCCAATCCAAACTGCCCGCAGTGGGATTTTATGCAACTTCCCTTCACCTTCCTCTTCTTTAAGTATTACTCTTAAATACAACGAAAGTCGAACATTAATATACTGATTATCCAAAAGATTATCAAATATTTAAAATTCTCTAATGAGAAGAAATTTCCAAGATTTGTAATACCTACATTAACACTAACCCTACCGCGACCTATCAAATGACCGGTTTTAAAGTTTGATTGAAAATTCCACATTTTCTTCAGTCCATTTCACTTTAACGATCGTTTTTATTAAGAAAAATTTATCGCTTAATTTGTTTACCTTTAATTTGTAACCAGTTATCTGATTAGTTACGATATCAATAGTTGTGTATAAAGCGCCGATACATTTAGTGTTAAAGGTAAAATATTTACATTCGTGTGAACTCAGTTTATTTAATAAGTTTTGATTAACTTATTAAATCGACATTAAGTCAGAAATTCATTTTCATAGTTGAAAAGATTAACTCTTGAAATAGAATAAAGTTTATATTACATAGTTTCTACTAAAATATTTACTATATGATACTTTGTTCATATATATTTTCCACAAATGGATAATGTTCGAAATGTAAAGACGCCAATTTGGTCCAGTCCACAAGCTTTATCGGAAATATGGAAATATTTAACTTGGAAATATGGACGATATTCTTAATTATATCTTCAACTATAACTTTATTTCAAAAATAAAAGAATGCAGTGTGTCATAAAAATAAGTAAGTAGAAATAACATTTTTACTGCAATTTATGACTAACAACTTCAACTAATTATTAATCCGTTAATGAAAAATAAACATGTCTATAATTTTTACGAATCAGACCCAAACTTTCCTTTGTTAATTGTTATTAATTAATTTATATATTCTACAGCTGATTAAACTTCTTTATTCATGAATTTGAAGAAAATTCTTTAGGAAAATTGTTTACAGGAAGTTGCGCGCCAGGGGGGTAAAATCTTGGCATTAATTTATAATAGACGAGACTCTTGAGGAAAATTTGCTGACTCTATTAAGGCTTCATACTTTAATGTCTTTTCGAGGTTTAAGTCAGGCAGAGCCCAAGTGCCTGAGTGCGGCGTGTCGTTGTGAAATAAACCAGATGCATTAGGACTTTCAACGTTACATGAACCAGTAAACACAATTCATATTCTGAAATTAATACCTGCAATGACGTCCATTTTGTAATGACACTTTTGTTAACTGATCGTATAAGAAAAGCATATTCGTAAGTATTTTTACATTCTATTATATCTTTCAGAGCATAAAAGAAAGAAAATGAGAATGAGGTACGGCTACGTAACCATAAACATGTATTAAAATTTGTAGAAACTTTTCAAAATTAATAATACTTTATTAGAAGTTTTAATATAGTTTCCTTCTGACATTGTTTGTTGTAACAATTTTGTAACGTGGAACACTTCTTTTAATTAACAAAGCTAATCCATAATAACCATGAAATAAGCAAAGATAGTTTTCGTAGCCCCACAAACTTGTTTAACCAGTTAACTGCGTTTGACGAGTATACACGTCATCTTAATGCTTTAAATGATACTAATTCTTTCAACGATGAATTACTTATTTTTTCAGATAGACATGTAATTCTTCTTTGTTTCGCTTTGGTTTCTCAATAAAATATACCCTAGATGCATTCATCCTGCGTTTGATTACTAGACATTTCATTTTTTAATTTTATTGCGCGCAAAACGAGAGATTTTTCGAGCTAAATTCCACGGTTAACAGGTTCAGAGTTTTCTTCTGGTTGACCTGTTAAGCGTTGCACTTTTGTATCGTATCCATTCTCTAAACTAACACTTAGAACATTCTTACTTCAAGTTTCGCGTAACCCCCAACAGAATCGTGAAAAAATAAATTTTGATTGCAGCAAATACAAACCGCGTTATCCGTGCACCAGAGCAAAACGAGCCACGTGTGTATTTCTGTTCGCTCGTCAGGCTTTCCCATTTGCATGCCTTTACCATTTCCTACGCACCTTCCCCGCATCGATATATTTACCTTCTTTCGTTATTTGTTTTGTTACTTTTAACGAATCTATATTTCTCCAGCAGCTGACGGGCCTTAATGTGGCGTTTGCTTTTGTTATTCCATATTTTTCCCCGAAGCACCAGATCGGCACCTTTCGTCCATTTATCCGCTCTTTGGAATTGAATATCGTCGGCCTCGTAAACTTTGCGAATATATAGGATATTCCTTTCGAAACGGACCGGGCAGTTGCCTTGCGAAGCAATGGCGCCCGAGAGCTACATGTGGCGCTCGAAATACTTACAATAATATCAATATAAATAATATTACTGTAATAAAATACAAGTTATTCAAAGATTATAATTCAAAGAAAGAAAGAGAAAAGGAGAAGAAAAAGATGCTACTACTGTTGCTACTTGTTATCCATAGTAGGATGCTCCTAACAGTTTTATCGCGGCAATAAGCAAACGTAAAACTCATTTTTTTTCGTAAATGGAGGATCATTGTTAAAAAAAGCTACGAGAGTTATTCATTTCTGTATATGTACTATAATATGAATAGGGTCTCATTCAAAAACAGATTTCTTTGACCGATCCTCTCTTTCTTAGAGTAGACTGAGGCAAATCGAACTATTGTCTGTTTGACAGTAAGGGAGCAAAACGACTTAACCCTTTGCAGTTGCGTGTCTATTTACTCTGTCACCAAAGCTCTTTTACCGTTTCTAGTAAAGTGAAACCTAATATTACTGTTAAATAAATCTTTATTATTTATAGAAGGGTGGTATTAAAAATAGGCGAGGCTTTAGTCACTTTTCAAGAAAACATCTGTTATCTTCTTAATAATCGCAAAAAGAAGAAATCGGGAATGGGTTATTTTGACCCATCTGGTAGTGTTAGTGTTAAGGATTCATCTATGTGTAACCTGTAACAACCCGTCTTCTTCCAATGATGTCCAGGGAAGCTAAAAGGTTGGACATCCCTGACTTATGCCGTTCTATAGCATATCAAGTAATCTCTCAACTGTACGCGCGATCTCTTTTCACGCGTGGACGAGAATCGTGTATTAGGCGAACGATGAATGAATGATTCACAATAAAATTTGGCAAGCATACAGCTGGCCACTGGTTGCCACCGTGGGCAGCCAATCTACCTGACTATTCGTCAGTGTTCTGTAATGCTTATTTTGTTCTATTCAATCGCTGTCAACCACGAAACATTTTGACCTGCAAATTCACTTGTATCTCGCCGTACAGATCAAAGCGATTAGACACTTGACGCGGCCATCGCTAACTAGTGTATTTGCGAAGCAGCAATTCAATTACTGACACCTGTTTTGTTTATAATTAGACTACTTTGGTGTGATTAATGCGTAGGGTGTTTAGAATATTTTATCGTAATGTAATTGTCCCCATTTTTATAATATTCTATGTAGAATATTCTATAAAATATTTCCGAAATATAAATATCAAACTTATTCTTACCTATCATGTTAATAGCAATAAACGGTCTATTTTTAGAACTTTTAGAAATAAAACCTGACAATATGTTAAACAAAAAGTGAAGTTCTTTAACGGAAACAAGTATGATTTCTTATTTCCTTGAATTGTTTCGTTGGAAATATTTAATATTTTGTAATAATTTTATAATAATAATTTTAATTAAATATTGTATATTTGGACAAGATAGATACATTCTTTTATATAATTGACTGTTTAGAAACAAATAAGCTTTATCCCTTTCTCTAATGACCTCTTACAATTAATTCCATGTGCAGTGAACATCTTTACAACGTAGAATACGTTTAGCGTTATAGAAAACCGCATTATACGAGACTTTTAAAAGGTGCGTTCGCGGTTTATTTGGGGCCAGCTAATAATACAGTTATATACTATAGTTATGACAATGAATAGATATTAAATAATGAAGTACTTTTATTTCTATCTCATTTAAAACCTGTAAAACAAATAAATTAATTAAACTACATTAGAATTTGGTGCACGCAAAAAGTGAATAGTGTAGTTATATAGTATTAAATAAATGATCTTAATTTCGTGGAATTCTAATAGTCACAGTCAACGAATTAGAAAAATTGTCAAAGGTAATATCCAATGAAGAATTATAAAAATTTCAAATTAACATGGAACCGTTTAAAACTGTGCAATATGTTTGTAAGAAATACAAATTCAAAATTTCACGTTACGGGGTTTAGTAAACAATCGAAAACAAGCGAACGTATAATACATATGTGACATCTGTTTGCGTTTCACTGGTAGCAGAAGAAACTGTTTGAAACCGAAAAAAACGAAAGATTTCATTGTGGAAGTCGCACAGGAGGGAAAAACTGTCATTTTAAAAATAGCTGGAGAAAGTAAAAGCAGCGATGTTCCATCAAAGGGACGCACGGGATGTAAGAGATCAAAGAGACTCTTCGCGTTCTTGGAAAATTTTCTCAAAAAAGCGATCGAGCAACGATACAGGGAAGCAACATTGAGTCAATACTAATTTACACCGAAGTTTTATTATAGACACTTTAATTCATATATTTGACGAATTCAGTTCATTTCGTAGTAATTGAAATATACGAGTGATTTGATTTGAATATTGTGGAAATTTTATTATTTGAAATGTATGTAATTTATGTGCTTAGAGTATTTTAAAATCGACTTCGATAGCATACAAAAATATGTAATAGTATGTTAATTTCTAGAACCTTCATTTCCATATTAATTTGTCAACAAATGAAAGCGTACTCGTTCGCATTGTTTTAAAATTTCTTCAAAGATTCAATCGTCCGTGTTATAAATCCGACTATCCTAATGGTTTTAAAGAACGTTTTTACACTGTGACTCTATAAATGCTATTATGTAACAGAACACATACAGCTGCACAAGACAACAGTCTCGAAGGAAATGCAGTATAAGCAGCAACAGTATTGTTCATTTTCGTATAATAATAGAATTCCATGAACTTTCTGAATCCAGTTCGTAGTAACAATATCTTTACTGACTCAGTCTTACGCACATATCGTGTAGTAAGAAGAGAAATAATGAGATCACTTATAAATAAATCAACGAAAAGTCAAATTATGGATATAATCCAAACTATCATAAATAAGCAAAGTAATAAGATACAGTCTACTACCATCGGAAACTAATTTATCTATTTCTAAGTTCCTAAGTAAATAAAGAAACGAAATAAAACAGGTAAAATAGAATAATTTTAATACATTTCTGTTTACAACTCTAAATTGTTTATTTCGAGGAGAACAATTTTTAAAAAATTTCTTTTTCACACCCCCTAGTTTCAAAGATATTGTAAATAATATACTGTCAACCCTCAACATTGCGGAGTGTATTCACCCGTTCAAAGTGAGTGTTGGCCGATAAGAAAAAATACGTGTCAAATATTTTTTGGAAAATTATGTTTCACATAAGTTTCATCAAAATGGGGGTGTGCTGGTTGAAAAGGTTCTCCTGTTAGCATTAGAATCGATAAAACGAATCAGGGAAAATTACTCTACCGCCTACTTTGGTTGAAAAATCACGAAAAGGTTCGACTGGAAGGGAATTGTCTAAAATAAAATATCGTGCCACTCACCGACCACATTCACCAGGGCGAGAACTTCGCAGAGGTAGTACCTGTAAGCCCACCAATTGTGAAAGCGAAGATTCTCCCAGAGATAATCGAGCAACATCTTTTTCTTCTGCTTCTTCTCGACCTCGGAACAGAGGCCGATGTCGAGGTCCATCATCAGGGCGTGAATTTTGCCACCCTCCCAGCCTTTCCAGAGCCATCGAGGTGTGTAAAAGAGAATCGCCTGAAACAGAAATCGCGAAATGGAGTCAGGTATAAGGTATCGGCAACACGTGGGATCGATTATTAACCTAGTTGCATTGAGCAGTTAGCTCCTGGAAATATCTATAGGGTGTCCCTCGCAGCAGGAACAAATATTAGGTACCAGAAAAAGGGTTCTTAACACTAAACGTAACAGCACTTTGTAGACACTTATTTCTAAAGTAAGCAATCGAACAAATGATTATAAATGTGGGATTGAAAGGTTTGGCGAAAACAAGTGTGTAATTGTAATTTATTTAAATAGTATATAGCAGGACCAGAATTAAATTAACCTATGTAACTATATATCTATTCTACGCTGTACTACACTGTTCAACACTGGTCTACTTTGCCCTGCTCCTTTCAACTCTCAAAACTACACTGTCCCTCAAAAGCCTTATAATCATTTTAACACTAGAACTACCAGATGGGTCAAAATGACTGATTGATTTCTTCTTTTATGATGAAACAAATTAAACACATATCACTAGATCCAGTAAATTAAACTATAACCAGAATTTTTACATTTTTATACTTTAATAATTACTTAAACTAATGCATCGGCAAACAGAAGTGTACCCGTGACGAGTTAACAATACATTAACAAATTTAGCGATGTAAAATGTGGTATATTTGTAATTAGTTTTGTCAAATGTTTCTTTGATTCGGAATACATTAAATTCATATATTAATACATTAAATTAAATTCTAATTTGTAAAAGTACGTTCCTGTCGACTGATTTCGATCAAGATAAGTTGTGCATCATCACAAGTACTCCAATTACGCTTAACAAACATCGGAAACGTATCGTTTTTCATTATTTACAAAAATCATGATGTAAGTTTACTCAAGACAAGATATCTGACACTGATTAAATACTAACGTCTGATTCACAATTACAAACATTGCAATGCAGAATACAGTAGTATTTACATAATACTGTATCAGTGAAAATCTGGTGATACACGGAGAGGATTGAAGAAATTTTTACTTGATATGATGTAATTATACAATGATATGTATGCGGTAGGATAGAAAAGGTTAAAAATATTTTCCATGCGCATTCATTCATGATTATTCAACTTATTACGTCTTCATTTCAACTTCCAAACGGATGACACTAATTTCTTTCATTTGGTTGTCGGTTTGGTGTACCGATCAAACAAAGAATATTGCATTTCAATCCTTCTTATTATGTTCGATAGATACATACTATTTAGAAACGTCGGTTTGATATAAGAACTTTTTTCTAAAGAATTTGTTCAACGTGTATATTTAAATATTTTACATATGTTTGTATGTATATATTTTTAATATAATAAAAATATACTAATGTTAAAATTTCTAGTTGAAACAAATAATCTGGTCTTTTCTATTTGTGTTTATTTTAATTAGTCGAAGAGAAATAGAAATTGTTATATTAAAATAACTCCAACTGTAACGATAACAATAAATACATAGGATACATTTCTAAAAGGCCAAGCCATTTAAACCTACAGTTTCTCAGAAAAATGTGAAACACAGTTGTAAATCTAAGTAAAATAATTTTACCTGACTTGAAATAATCAGGCATTTATAGCATTTGGCCTAATTTACTACCTCATAAAATCATTCGTTTCATAAAAAGTTCAAAAACATAGTTAAGGATGTTGTGTTGATAGCTCAAGAGTTTAGCCATTTATTATCCTCAGCTTCTTATTACAATTTACATATATATTAATCGTTTATCTATCAGACAGTTATTAATATAATCTTCAATAACTTAATTACATTATGGTACTCCATAGGATTTGCTGATTTAGGATTCTAATTATTATAGCTATAAAAAGTTTGATGAAGACCTCCTCGGGTATTAATTATTAATCTTCAATAAACTGTTAAATGAAGATAGATAATGATAGATAATGTGTTAATAAAATCAATATCAGAATGCATGAAGTATTGATGACCTTTAAACATTCGAGTCATTATGTTTTCTATCTAAGACTTTTTACAACATTGTAGTTCGTTGCGTACCACGTGACTACCGGCGATTATTTAATCCGTTTCCATGCAGACAACGTGCCCACTTTAGGTTTTACCTTTAATGCCACGTGCCTTATCATTTCAATCTCACGCACGAGTTGTTATTTCATTGTACATACAGCAACGTGTTAAAAGTATTTACAGTAGATTGTTGAAAATACACAACCATTTCGTACAAGAGACGAGACCAAACAAACTCCTTGTAAAATTTATCTCAACAAAATTGAATTTTCAAAATGCAAAAATAAACTTTAAGAAATGGAAACTTTCAGATATTAAAAGGAACAGTTATCAATAAGTTTAACGAGAAGATGTTTGATATTATGCAATTAAAAATAATTTAAGAACAACGTGAAAATATAGTTTACGAAAATGTTTAATGTAATAAATTATTATTAATAATTCTTTTGAATTTGTCTTTATTGGATTATTACATCTTAAATTTTCTCAAATCTGTATTACTTTTACACATAGGTATCTGAGTATGCTACTCAACTATAGTATTGGTTATATTAATTTCTACATGTTTCTGTTAAAAGATTCAATTAACACCAAAATGGATGCATGTATTAATACAATTTCATTTTTATATCCTGATGTATGTACATCCCATTTATAATGCGTCAAGGAAAAAGTAACTTATTATTAATTCAATCATTTAATTCATGTGGGAATAGAACCCTCCCACAGTTTAAGAAAACAATAGGTGTAAAATAACAAGTTAATTAAAAAATAACCCATCTATGCTCCCTGACTATTAGACTTGGTTCTATATAATTAGTGTGTTATACTTAATAAAGACTATAACGGTAATAATTATAATAATAAATAGTATTAAAACACCAAACTTCTCTGATAATTATGTATATAAAGCAATTTTGTTAAATCCGGAACCAGTCCATACTTATTAACACCAATTAACAAATGGGTAATATAATTAAAAAATTGAATACAATTGAAACGTTGAAACATTGAAAAATTGAGAAAATGAAAAATCTGTACAAAAAGGATTATTTAAATCTGTTTTCAAAATTTCTTATATTGAACTTTGACTTTACTTTTCTGTTTAAGCGATTAACGTTTCTCTCGTGTTTTCGGTGGCGGTTACAGTGGATACATGTTGGAATGAACTCAGTACCTCGAAGTAATCAAATATTCGCATCCACTGCAACCTCAGCTTTCAGGAAGTAGATTCCCAATCATTATTATTGAAAAAGTAATTAAACATCTAGGGAACTTCCCTTGTAAGTGCCCGTGTGGAACTAATTGCCAGATTTTTGCACGATACAGTAAGTATATACCTACGGCTTGGGATCAATGATCGAAAAAGGAAACTTACGTATGCTAATTAGTCGACATTTTTCTGTAGGCAGAAACGATTGCTCTAGGATGTAGCGCCCGTAGGGTTATTCGACCTAATTAAAGGATCGGATGTGAAAACTACTTGTACCGGTCGTTACGGGTATCTCACAGGAGTTGCGGTTTATGACAGTATTGTTCTGTGACTCGTAAGTTGCCGTAGGCGGCGTCCACATCTGACAATGAACCGCAACGTGCATTTTACTGGATTTCCAAGGTCAAATGTCATTCGTAACCTTCGAACAAGTTAATTTTTACGACCATCTGCGCACCGAGTGCTCGTCAATGCACGCATCGACAGATGTTTTAGGGTAAAGCTCATGTTTTTGGCATGGTCCATCCATTTACGTTGGAAAATATACATATGTCAGAAGAAATATTTATGACAAAAATAAAAGTAATTCGTTTTTTACGTTATAAATAGTTAGGTATTAATATACAGGGTGTACGGTTAGCCAACATTTTTCGACATCTTTCGAACAAAAGTTAATTTGGTCTTAGTGGACTATAAAAAGAGGAATTTGTTATCGAAAACGACAAAATTATTTTATGTGATGGCTTCCATTATTAAACTATAATTATTTAAAGTTACCACATAAAGTAATTTTATGTCGTTTTCGATAACAAACTCTTCTTTTTATAGCCCAGTAAGAGCAAATTAACTTTTATTCGAAAGATGTCTTTATCTGATTATAATAATTATTATATGTCCTTGAAATATGTTGGCGACAGTCTCACCATACGCCCTGTATATTAATTATTATTATTAGACTGTAATTATTTATATACACATACCATATGTATTATCTAAAAATCCTATAGGAATTCAAATTTTTATTTTGTGTTTCAAAAAGGGTTTAAAATTTCGTTTTACTACATAAGAAAATTCAAATTTGTATATAAATATAACATATCAATAAAATACATAATTATTTGATGTATTTGAACGTTTACACTTATTTGATTTTGTTTCTAAGTTAGAATCGCCCCTATCTTCCGAAAATTCTACTGAAAAGCTGAGTTATTTCTTTATAAAGAACGTTTGATGCGTCATGTAGACATATCTGTGCTAGCTATTGTGTTAAAGTTTGTCTTATAAGTTTGTCTTCAGTACATTGATCCTTTTCGCTCCAAAAATTTTTCGCTAGAAATGCTCAATATTTTTTGATAAGATATTAAATGAGGTTTCTTAAAACTAGCTTAACAAGAAATCGCACATAAATTAAGGAACAGAGATATTTGATTCCAATATTTCATATATTGATATATAAAGATTAATATTAAATTCTATAAATTTGTATGTGTTAAATCAAGAGGTTATTGGAATGCAAACGGTTAATTTGTAACAGCAACACGTGTGAAAATCGTCTAATATAGTTTCGTAATAATTTATATTTAAATTAATAATGGCAGTATATAGAAATACGGGAGCGACAAACATTTAATATATCTTACTGAGTTCAACGTCGTTTTGGCAACGGATTATTGAGAGCTGCCAGCGAATTTGGACACCTAACAATTTTAAATAGTTCGGAAGATCAATGGTACGACGTAACAATGACCAAAACCTTGTATTCAAGTCGAAGGTGATAGCCTCG